ATATATTAAATACATGTACATCTAACACATAAATAATTTCACGCAATTGATTCTAAATATGAAATTTTCACAAGGAAAAGTCGATAAGATAACCATTAATAACAATAGAATTTGTACTGATAATTTTCCTACAATTGTTATAATAATTTAGACGATAACATGTAAAGGAAATGTCGCGATAATCGATATTTATCGCTGTAACCGTTGCAACTGTTTAGCTTATTGTTGTTTATAAACGTTAAAAACCGTTGGTTACTAATACCTAATTTTCCGTTAGGACCGTTGGCTTTTACAGAAATATGATTGGGTGATTTTAAAATGACCGTTAATGAATGCAACGAAGTGACTTTAATTAAATAAAGCAAATAAAATCAACATCCTGTACAAATTTTGCTACACAATTTTCACTAAGATGTTTGTCCCCATAAGGTAGATTTAATAAGTTTATACATGTGTTAGGGTTGCCCCTTAAGGCCCTTATGGAAAACTCATAAGGCAATCCTCATTTTAGTACCACTACTTTTTTTTGGTGGGATTTGCATGGGGAATCTTCGGGGAAATCCCTATATCGGCATGCCCCTCATTAGCCACATGAGGCCCCCACGTTACATAGGGCATGCCCCCTATAAATTCTAGTCGGGAAGGTTTAAATATTCAGGGAGAGGAGAATAAAACCGTGAGAAAATAATTTTGAAAATGCCCTTAAAGAAAGAAGCAGTGCCGGAAATGGAGCATAAATCTTCGATAATCGGAGGAAGTAAATAAGAATTCCTCTAAGGCTGTCTAACCGACAGTGCCAGTGGTGCCTTATCCGCTCGATATTGTGTTTTTACCAACGCTAACATGTGAAAAATCTAGTAAAATTATTGAGAGAATTTGTAAGTATTTTATACAGCATCTAAGTTAGTTACTATACCCTGTACTATGTAACATACAATTCTCAGGTGCAGCTTATATATATAGANCCGTTAATGAATGCAACGAAGTGACTTTAATTAAATAAAGCAAATAAAATCAACATCCTGTACAAATTTTGCTACACAATTTTCACTAAGATGTTTGTCCCCATAAGGTAGATTTAATAAGTTTATACATGTGTTAGGGTTGCCCCTTAAGGCCCTTATGGAAAACTCATAAGGCAATCCTCATTTTAGTACCACTACTTTTTTTTGGTGGGATTTGCATGGGGAATCTTCGGGGAAATCCCTATATCGGCATGCCCCTCATTAGCCACATGAGGCCCCCACGTTACATAGGGCATGCCCCCTATAAATTCTAGTCGGGAAGTAGTTTATTACACTTACGTTCAATTATAGTTATAGTGTAATTTTAATATCAAGATATGAAATTTATATTTGCCAAGCCAATTAACCGTTTAACGTGTAGTAAATAATGTAGACAAATCATCGCATAATTAATTACTAATTAAACGAATATAATATATTAGGCAGGTGCCTGTAAAACATTTCCGCAGTAATTAATTAACTCCCGCTATGTACATATGTTTGACGTTTATATATGTATGACTAGATTGCTACAACATATAAACATAATATTTTAGTCTATAAATATGGGGGCATGTATTTGCAGGTGTATAAGTCTATTTTAAAATCTTACAACAATTAGACATGAAAAATGAGACGAATGGTGAAAAATTAATTGCAAAAAAAGTGACGAAACCGATACCTATACTTGGTTTTTAAAATTAATCTAAAATAAAAGCAGATTATTAAGAGATACGAAAATTAAATACGGAAATAAATATTACAGTTTTCAGTTACGGTATTTCAATCTGGGACTTTACCAAAAATCTGTGGCCTCCACATTTCAGAAATAGTCCCGAAACCTTAAAAGTGGCGAAAACAAATGCGTAATGAACACTCCCAGTGCCGAATGAGCAGTAACCCGTGACGGTAAATTCCCTACTTCTTTTAGGGGGTATAAAGTGTAAAAAACTTCGATTTCGGGACTATTTTAGAGATTAGTAATAACGGAACAATACCACTATCGAATAAGTAACAACCTGTGCCCTTAAATCCCTTGCGTTTGGTAGGGACATTAGAAAAAATTATTTCGATTTCGGGACCATTTTCGGGACCAAGACTAGATATTTTATACAATAGTTCCGAATACCTTTCCGGTCTCGGGATTTGTACCACATAATAATAGATATTAAAATAATACCACATTATAGGGGTACCGAAATTTATCCCTATCATTATCCGAGTACTAAAATTTACCCTAACCCATTTACCCTACAACATTTGTTGAATGGGAACCTGGACGTTTGTCCTGTTAAGATTCCCATCAATAGGCATTCAAGTGGTCGGAGTACAAACAGTTTTCCCGACAAAGCTCTAACTGTTTTCCCAACCGAGCTCATGAGGTGGAGCTTAACTTCCCGGGTGGTTGTTAATCTTTAGCTCTTTTCATCGTTTTTTAAAAATACACAACTTTTTGTTAGTGTTCTTCAATGTTTCGATAATATAATTTTTTAACGTGAATTTTTGACTGTATCATGCTATATATGTTACCGACAAGTAGATACTTCTACGAGAATATCAAACACTATTACATATATCAAACAGCCTCATTCGTCAATCGTCACATCATCGAATTATTATTCATTATATTTTTATGAATTTTCGAGAATTTTCATCGCGAAGACGAAATATGTTATGTAAAGTTAACTCCATTTTCCGACGGAATTGCTCCTTATATTTGCATCATAATGGAAATAGCAAATAACCCTTTTTTGAGAATATTAAACAAAATAAATATGCGATATCCAGTTCTATACTTTTATAACAATTAATTCTGTAGGAAAAAACTAATAATAAACGTTTTCTTTATATTTTTTTTATCGCAGTCTTATAAAAACAAAAAAGTATAATTAAGGACATTTGTGCCTAAATATAACAAAAATTTTAAATGATGGCTATAGATTACCTAAACAAAGAATGTATAAGATTAAAACGACTTATAAATAGCTAAAACACCGTTTTGAATAAGAGTTTTCTTTTGGTGTCTGCTTATGAGACATTCCTAAGAACTATAAAATTTTGAAGAATATTTGAAAAATGAAAATCTCTAGAGAAAACGAGAAAAGATGTTTTATGTTGCAAAATATAAATTGTTGAACACCTTTGTCTTGCAAAAATCTCAAATTTTTAGTGTACCCCAGGGTCTTTTAGAAATTAGGTCTTACAATACAAACGCTTCCTTGTTTTATTACGGTTTCCCCTTAATACACCACGTTATAAATTACCCCTCGACAACGCGACGGGTAGGCCCTCATATACAAGGGATAAAAAATGGGCTATAACTTACGGCGATACTGAGATGATCCGGGGACACATGCCCCCTGTTCCTGTCGTTCCGGTCCTCCAGTTTTACGTCTCTCGCACTCCAAAAGCCACCGCCGAACAATACGCAGAACGAAGACGGAGAACGGCGTCTTCTACTAATACGATTACGACGTTGATGAAGATGATGACGAAGAGAAAGAAGAGCACAGCAAGAACCAACACACACACACACACCCCCTTTCTACATACGTATAATACGTCCCCCCGCGGTGCCCCTCGGTAAGGTCAGGTCACATCCGAATAACAACCGACGACAACAAAAGCCCGCCGACAATACATCAATTAGCAACAGCAACAATAATGATATCAACAAAAGAGTAACAATAAAAACAACAGCAACAACAATGTAGATATGTATGTAAACGATGTACTACTACACATTCATATGATTTGATTCATACTGACTTTAATTCATCATCATGCTGAGGGAGATCCCGCTTCTCCCCTCTCTCCCCCGACGTCGCACAACCCCACCGCCGTCGCCGCCGCCGCCGTGGACGTCCTGTACCTGATGCACACGTAAAATAATATCACACGGCAATCGCACACATGCACACAGCAACACCCGTACTTACACGTACACATGGAGTGGATAATTTCCCTTTTTGTTTCTGTTTCGAATTTCCTTGCCCACCTCTATCAGGGCGGCCATGCGTCCGCATGTAAGACCGCCCAGTTAATTGCACGCAATTACCTATCGCGATAGCCGTGCCCTCTGCCCACGTCGATCGGAAACTGTCTGTTTTCCAATTTCCACCAGCAGGGGGATACGTTCATTGATGCGTCAAATACGTGGATGGAAAGAGGGAAAATCGGGATTTTCTTTGACGTGTCCACGACAGATTATTGATTAGTTACTGTACCAGACGATTTGATCATTTACAGTTCGGTTTTGTAGCTGAAAAAGGCTTTTTTCTTCGGAGACTTCAACGTTCGATTAAGCGACGAACCCGAAAATTTTTACCAATTTTTACGTTTTACTTTCAAAATCGAACTGATTGGAATAATTGACGATAACCATGATAAATGCAGAATTATTAGTGACCTTTTGTACTGTGTTTGGCTCATTTATTACAGAAATTAATACAATAAGCAGTGATTGTTGTAAATTTGTTAAAATGAAAAGAAATAGTTTTTACTGCAATCGACATTGTCTATGACTTATAAGATAATATTTTGATTTTAAGGTTATTTTGTTTAAAAAACAAAATTTTAATTAAAAATCTATGTGGATACATTCTTTTACAAATCCGCTGTGTCCGGCTCCTTCACCATACTTTGTACATTACAAGTATAGATGTTGTGTTTCTAAAGAAGTTTTGTGTAAAACAGTAGAACTCGTAAAATTAATTTGCGATATAGAAGTAAGAAAATAGAGTCTCAGTTATTATACTTGGTTAGAACAAATAGATTTTTACAACTTTTAATGGTTGCGACTCCTTTTTTTTTACTATTAGGCCAAAAGAAACTTACAAACTTACCTTTTTTCTCATTAAATATGCTTATGATATACTTACCCATTAAAGTTTGTGTCGTGCATTTTCCTCTTCATTTTCATTTTCCTAAAAGAACTGTAAATCTAATTGAAAATGAAACTTTTCTACAATATTGTCTTTATTTATTTGATTGATTATTATTTTGAATGGATTCTAGTGAATCTAATATTTACACCATTTATTGCAAAAATACTTATCAATTATTTATATTAATGTTCTTTTTGTCCATTGTCACTGATTAATGGTTAAACTACCGTTCTAACCCCTGATAATAATAACCGTTGTACGCATTATAAACCCCGTAATCTGGCACACTGACACTACCACACATCGCACCATTTCCTGCGATTGGATAAATGGTATTCACTGCTACAGGTTTTCCCTCAGTTCTGACGGATTGCAAAGACTCCCGTTTTCCGAAACCCGACAATTCGACACTTTGAATGTTTTCATTATTTGCGTTCTCATTTTGTGTTTTGTTGACTTTATTGCTGCTGTTGTTGTTGTTGTTATTGCTGCTGCTGTTATTTTTGTGGGTTTTGACGTGCTTTGCCAAATGGTCGGATCTCATGAACCTTTTGGAACACGTTGGGCAAGCGAACCTCTTTTCACCCGTGTGGGTTCTCAAATGGCGCTGAAGTTCATCGGATCTGGTGAACCTTTTTCCGCAAAACAACCAATTGCACACGAAAGGTCTCTCCCCAGTATGCCACCTGAGATGCGCCTGGAGGTGCGACGTCTTCCCGTAAACCTTATCACAGCCTGGGTAGTGACACACATGGACCTTCTTCGCCTGGGGGCTTTTCAAACCGTTCTCTTCGTTGATACAGTTTGGACATTGACACTTGATACATCTCCTTGCTTTCCCATAAGTGACCAAACCAGAACTTGCGTAACCGTTACTCGGGAAACTGAGAACCGGTGATTCGGATTTTATAAACTTCATCGTCGGAAACGGCGAGATGTACGAATTCTGATGATGAGTCCATTGGGGGTGGTGATGGTATTGCTGCTGGTGGTGGTGGTGATGATGATGATGGACGCTGGTCTGCTGGGGTTGCAAACCGCTGGTTGCGATGTCGGCGGGCGGGGGTGAATGTTGGAACCAGTATTGATTGCCGTAACTGTGACCGTAAGGGTTTTGGTAGTGAGGGGAGTATTCCAGAGGAGATCTGGCCGCTTCCAGAGGAACTTGAGGGATGAAACCGTCGCTGCTGCACGAAGTCGTTGATACCGGTGATATCTGAGATGAGCAAGACTGGTGCTGGCAAATTCTGGCACATTTTGCTGCGAGGATGTCGAGAGGTGACATCTGGAAAAAAGTATCTGGATTTTTTATCGTGAAATAGAATTTAGAAGAACATCAAAAAGACCATAAGAAATGTAAAAATCAAATCAAAGAAATTGCTTCTTTTTGGTTCAAGTCGATCAAGTAAAACTAATGCCGAATTATGGAAGGAAACTGCGTTCAGACCATTGTGGACAATTAATAACTTCAAAATGTTATTCCAAAATTAACATCTAATTAAAAAAAATCTAAAAATTGTTAACCCAAATAAGTGAAGGTTTAATATTGATCAACATTCTAAAATAATTCTCGCAACATTCAAACAAAAAAAAAATGAAACAAAATGAAAAGGACAGAGTCCCGCTCTCTCGCTCCTTGTTCCACAGTTACAACCACATACATACACATACACACGTATGCGTTGCAACCCAGCCAACTAGATAATCTGCCGCATTCCGCCGCAACAATAATAAAATCGTAAGCACTGGTAATTAGCGGTTGTCCGCGCGCGGATTACTATGATTATAGTGCACGCACCTGCGACTGCGCATTGACGCTCTGATGGAATTGCAGCTGAGACGTCGGCGACGTCGGTGTCGTCGTCATCATCGTCGTCGTCAGCGGCGTCGACGTAGATGCCATCATCATAGCTCACACCAAAACGGCGCACTAATAACTGAGATTGCGTCTAGGAGGCTGCGGCTGTAGCGCGAGATGACCATCTTTTGCCTGTGGGCGTGGCCGAATGCGCACCGTACCTGCGCCGCGCGACAAGTGAAGATCTGCACGCACGGGTGCGCTGCCGCCAAAGCCGCCACAGCCGCCCCCGATGATTATTAGCTTCCTCATAGCCAACTGTTTTTATCATTGAAAACACTAATTTATCGGTCTGTTTGAAGCGCGCACGCCGACCACACCGTCACTTTGCTTTTTCACTTAAACTGACGTCTTATTTTTACACTTGGCACCAGTTTGGAATTTGTATTCCTTTTTCATTTTAATGTCACAATATCGTTATTATTCCACAGATCTACTTTTCTGAAAACTACTCTGAACCAACCGAACTTTTGTGCAAAACTCAACACACCGACGGTTTTAAATTGCATTTATTAGACTTGTATTGGGTACTTTATTAATTATATCATTAAAAGATAAGTGATAGTACCTAGTCGTAATAATTTCACTATACCACGTCGTATTTTTCGAAAGATGATGCCACTTTTATTGATTGCATGTAGCTACCCCTTTGTTCCGTTATCAATTCACCACTGGTGAATTATAAAGAGGTAGAATTTGTAAGTTTGGATGTCAGAGGTAATCCCCAAAGCTGCTCATCCGATTTCAAAAAATATTTCACCAATGTTTAAAATGGATCTTTATGGTAGACATAGACTATATATTATTCCGTTAAAATAAGAGATTTTTTCTTGTAACATAAGTCAACAAATATACAGTCGCAAACTGAATTCCAAAGGGATAAAGCCATGATTACAACTGGTAGGTAGGTAGATAATTTGCTACTGCACAGGATAATCTAATAACTTCCGTCAAAGATTAGCTACGTTAATATAAAATAACCAAACCGACGTACCACATGGATGTTGGTGTAGGTACCATTACACAAAAGTGTAGGTAGGTAGCTGATGTCTGTGGCTGTAAGTTGATCATTATTGTCTATGGTTATTTGGTTGTGGATAAAAACGGTCTTTTCTTTGAAGAAACTGTTGTAAATCAACCGGGGGACCTTTTGGCCGTTGGTCTCCTAGGCTCATAAATTAAAGCCATAGAAGAGGTCGATGACGGCTTCTGGAGGACAATACCGCACGTTTAGCGGGCGCAACGGGGGCTCGCTGGAGAGGGCCGGGGTCTCGGTCGGGTGCCCCTTGTATTTTGATAGGCGTGAAACTTATATTTCCTTGTACCAAACCGGGACATTATACTGTTGGTTTTGTTATACGTATATTAAGGTGCCAATAAAGGCATTTTATAATAAGTAAATTAATTTAAATAATAAATCCCTTCAGTATACTGCCAACCAAAAAAAAAAACTCGAAAGCATTAGGTTTCTATTTTTTTATTATTATTTAGCAATACAAGTTGCAAATAACCTTATACCCTGAAGGGATAAAAAAATATCCGTGCGCAGAGTATTGTAGAAAGAATAATAGTAGTAACTACAAACTAATGACTTACAATTATAATACTAAAATTAAGGAAATTAAATTGCATAAAATAAATTACATGTACCTAATAAATTATATTAAATTGAGAATATTCTATACAAATACAAAACAGAAAATTATATCGAATATACCTATAAAAAAGGAAAATGTAAATTCTAATTAAAAATTGAAAAAGCAATAATAAAAGAAAAAGAAATAAAAATAGAAAAAAATACATACGTTTTACGAATAAAATGTGATATATCAGCTAAATAAATTTCTGTGCCAGGGAAGAATCTTCTTTCTTAAAGTACCAACAGGGAGGTTTGATTATTTGAAATGATCAAGGAGTTTGTTAAATAGTTCAGTACTACCAGAAATACTGCTTTTAATAACAATTTTCTTCCTTACAAATTCGTTCATGACATGCTTTCTTCTAAGATTAGTAGACTGATTTATATATTTAGACTGAAGGCCTGCGAAATGATGGAACAGAGATTGTACCATGAAAATGTTATTAAGATTTAGTGAAGGCATAATAGTACTATCTTATGATAATATTATGTCAAAAATCCTATTTTGAAGGCTTTGAAGCGGACCTAAAACATTTGAGTATGCACCATCCCAACTATGAAACATAGCATAGCATAGTAAATCATTTTAAGTACGTTAGCATCCATGTAGTGTTTGAGTTTATGAAAAACAAAAAGTAGATATGTCAATCTATTACAAAGATTAGTTATGTGATTATACCACATAAATCTGTAATCAAAAATAACACCTAAGTATTTGACTCATTTCAATGTTTTCACCGGCGTATTGTGAATTTTAATAGATATTTATGTCTTCTGGGACACTATTAACATAAGATCCAAAAGTTATAAAAATAGTTTTATCAACATTCAATATAAGGCGATTCCTATCAAGCTTAGAAACTAACTAAAACAAACTATTATTCATAATTACGCTCGCCTTACTCCATGTTATACCTGAACTTAGCACAACAGTGTCGTCAGCATTAGAAACTATTTTTATGTCATTAATGTGTAATACAAATAAAAGTGGTCCAAGAATGAAACCTTGAGAAACTCCTTAAAACACCGAGTTCCACTTACTGTACACAGAATTAATTCATTATCAATGATATTGGAAATCTACTAAATATCTATCAGTAAAAGGTATAGAAAGACGTATCTACCAATGGTTATATCATTAACACTTTCTTTAAAGCTTTAACGAGATATCGTACTCCGAAAAGAGCAAACAAGAAAGTGATGGGTTTCTTGTAACCAGAAAATCCTATTATCTGTGCCCAAATGCTTACATGTAGAGGGTGAATATTCCCTGTTAATTCTTGTAAGACGTCTAATACCCTCCTAAGTCAGTTAAACAAACTTGTAAGTTGTTTTCTAAAGCTGTAAATCTTCTAAATCCAATGTCATCGACACTCTGCACAACTAATTGTATTAAGTACTTATAATAAAGATGTGAGAAATATTTGTAAAAACGAAAATATTTTTGTAAAATTACTCCTGTATATGATTTTTTGGTGTTCACCAATCTAGTATCTACATTATAGCAGAAGGTATTTGTCCAGTCTGTGTGTTTTCATAAAAAAAAATGCATGCAGTAAGTAACTTGTTCAAATTTGATCAGAAAGTTCTTCGTTTGTATAACTCAATTAATAAATTTTGAAAAGGTCTTACTCGACAGTGGCTACCAAAATCGAATAAATAATGTATGGAAGATTTCTCATACTAAATAAGCAACTAAATATCAGAACAAAAAAAAATTCTAATAGAGTTTGTCATCTTCGTGATCTGTGTAACGCATTTGAGCTCCCCATTTGAAACAGGGAATATGGGGTAACTTATACTGGACACCCTTAAGTTAGGTCTGTGATAACTTTAGTATAAGGTGACCATAAACGTCAGGATTAGGAGAACCAATGCAACAAGCAAGTGGTCAATTGAAGTACTTTAATAGAATCGTAGATGAACACCAGAATCCTACAAGCTTTACCAGTTGCAGCATTGTTTGTGTTTTGCCTCGTCTTCGATTTTTGCCTATTCCAAAAAAATGTATCAAAGAATCTACCTTGGACAAAAGAAATTACCTTGGACCGAAGCAACGTTTATCGGTGGTACAAAATGTTCTCGAGAGCCGAGCACGTCAACAACAGACAAAAACATTGATGCAGATTGGCTTCTGTCACTCGATTTTTACCCATGATTTGGGCATGAAACAGGTCGCCTCGAAATTCGTACCAAAATTGCTCAATTTCGACTAAAACCAGCATCGCATTAACATTGCTAAGGAGCTGTTGGACCCAAATTTGCTTCAGAGGGTCATAACTGGTGACGATTCATGGGTTTATGATTATGACGTGGAAACCAAAGCTCAATCATCCCAATGGAAGCTGCCACATGAGCCAAGACCGAAAAAAGCCCGCCAAGTTAGGTCGAATGTGAATGTTTTGCTTACAGTTCTTTTCGATTGCAGGGACGTGGTGCATCAAGAGTTCTTGCCACAGGGTAGAACGATCAATAAGGAATATTACCTGCATATTATGCGCAATTTACGAGAAGCAATCCTCCAGAAACGCCCAGATTTGTGGAAGAACAAAAATTGGCTTTTTTACCATGATAACGCCCCTACTCACACATCGTTGCTTGTGCGCGAATTTTTGGTCAAAAACAACACTAATAATTCCATAGCCACCATATTCCCCAGATCTAGCCCCTGTAACTTTTTTCTTGTTCCCAAAACTGAAAAGGCCCATGAAAGAACGACGCTACGCTAAGATTGAGGAGATAAAGACGGCATCAAAGGAGGAGCTGAACAAGATCACAAAAAATTATTTTTTGAAGTGCTTCGGAGATTGGGAAAAACGTTAGCATAAGTGAGGGTTACTTTGAAGGGTACAAAATAGATATTCATGAATAAATAAATAACTTGAAAAAACACATAATTCGTGATACTTTTTGAACACACCTCGTAAACATATTGCAAAAGTAAAGCTGATCTACTATAAAAAGATGACACATTAGTAAAACATTGTTTATTCTTAAGGGAAAGTAAACAGTGATTTTTTAAAGTAATTCATTTTTTGATCACCTTATTAATGTAGACACCTATAGGAACGTATACTATTGTAGGTGTTCTACTTCCTATCTATTTCATTGATGAAAATTCTATGTATCGCATTTCCGATAGAGAATGAGAAATCTCCTTTTGTAATCCGTTTATATCTAGTAAAGCTACTTATGTATTATTTATAAGCAGAAAAGGGGCAAAAAAAGACAAGTTTAAGCCGAGTAATATCGAGTGTCAAGTGCACTTTCCCATGGTTACAAAGAAAATTTTGGCAAAGTGGACACAAAAGTTCGATATTTCGGACGATGAAAGAACTTACACGGTTTATAGCAGCCTCTTTCACATACGGAGCACCTGACTTGGCAGGTTTGACCTACCAGAAGTCCTCAACACTCGCAACCAAAAAAGTATTTTATTCTCATTCTATTTTTTTTTTGTTTCGAAACAATTCTAAAACAAAATCGACAATTATGTAGTAGAATTTGATGGAAATGAAATTATTAATGTTTATATATGTGTGCACATTCCCCTTTTTCGTACTTAACTATTTTTTAGCAAACATCGAAATATTAGATAACTTTTATAAAAATAGCTTGTTCCACAAGGTATACATATATGTATATAATAGTGTCGT